CCCTTCTTTGCCTCCATAGATAACGTTTTTTGATTCCACATATACCTCAACGCACCACTCACCTTTTTTTTCCCTCATCAATTCTATGATTAACCTCATCCTTCAAAAATCCATCCGCCGACATGTCAACTCCCAAGTATCTGAAAACATTCACTTCTTCCATACTTCTCCTCCCCAATTTGATATCCAATTTTTCTTTATCTAAATCATTTGATACCCTCATCACCTTACTCTTTTCTATGTTCACTTTCAACTTTTGCCTTTACACACATTCTCAAACTCATCCACAAAACCTTTGCAATTTTTCTTTAGAATCTCCCATAAGCACAGTACATCAGCAAAAAAGTAACTGTGTCAATTCCCATTTTGAATTTGATTCCCCATAATTTAATCCCACCCCCTCTCCCGAACACCCTAGCATTTACTTCTTTTAAAACCCCATCTATAAAATATTAAACAACCATGGTGACATTACACATCCCTGTCTAAGACCTACTTTTACCGGAAGTATTCTCCCTCTCTTCTACACACCCTAACCTGAGCCTCACTATCCTCATAAAAACTCTTTACAGCATTTAGTAACTTACCACCTATTCCATATACTTGCAACATCTGCCACATGCTCCTCTATCCACTCTATCATATGCCTTTTCTAAATCCATAAATGCAAAAAAAAACTTCCCTACCTTTATCTAAATACTGTTCAATATATGCTTCAATGTAAACACTTGATCTACACATCCCCTACCCACTCGAAGTCCCCCTGCTCATCCACAATCCTACATTCTGTCTTACCTCAAATTCTTTCAATTATACCCTCCCGTATTTTTTTCCCTGGTATACTCAGTAAACTTATTCCTCTATTAAATTTTTACAATCTCTTTTGTCCCCTTTCCCTTTATATAAAGGGACTATACATGCTCTCCGCCAATCCCTAGGTACCTTCCCCTCTTCATACATTTATTAAACAAAAGTCCCCAACCACTCCAACACTAAATCCCCCCCTGCTTTTAACTTTTTCTGTCATGATCCCATCAGTTCCAGCTGCTTTACCCCCTTTTCCCATTCTACGTAATGCCTCACGTACCTCCACCACGCTTACTTTCTCTCTTCTTCACTCCTAAAAGAGGGTATACCTCCCTGGCCAGTGCATGAAATTACCGCCTCCCTTTCTTCCTTAACATTTAAAAAGTTCCTCAAAATATTCTCGCCATCTACCTAATACCTCCCTCTCCCCATCTACAACTCCCCTACTCTGTTTTTAACTGACAAATCCATACTTTCCCTAGGCTTTCTTAACTTTTTTTAAATCATTTCCAAAATTTTTTCTTATTTCTTTAAAAAATTTCTTGACAGTGCCTCTCCCACTCTTTCATCTGTTTCTCCTTTTGCACTCTCTCACCACTCTCTTCACTTTTCTTTTACTCTCCATATACTCTGCTCTTCTTATAACACTTCTGCTTTGTAAAAACCTCTCGTAAGCTCCCTTTTTTCTCTTTTTCACACCCTTTACTTCATCATTCACCAATCACTCCTCTTTCCTCCTGCCCCCACCCTCCTATAACCACAAACTTCTGTCCCACATTTTAATACTGCATTTTTAAAACTGTTCCGACCCTCTTCAACCCCCCCACTACTCATCTTTGCACTAGCCCACCTTTCTGCCAATAGTCGCTTTTATCTCGCCCGAACTTCCTCCTCCTTTAGTTTATACACTTTCACCTCCCTCTTACTTGTTGTTGCCACCTTCCTCTTTTCCCATCTACCTCTTACTCTAACTGTAGCTACAACTAAATAATGCTCCGATATATCAGTTGCCCCTCTATGAACATGTACATCCTGGAGCCTACCCATCAACCTTTTATCCACCAATACATAATCTAACAAACTACTTTCATTACGTGCTACATCATACCTTGTATAATTATTTATCCTCTTTTTCATAAAATATGTATTACTTATTAACAAATTTCTTTCTACACATAGCTCAATTAAAGGCTCCCATTTACATTTACCCCTGGCACCCCAAATTTACCTACTACTCCATCTATAACATTTTTACCCACTTTAGCATTGAAATCCCCAACCACCATTACTCTCACACTTGATTCAAAACTCCCCATGCATTCACTCAACATTTCCCAGAATCTCTCTCTCTCCTCTACACTTCTCTCTTCTTCAGGTGCATACACGCTTACTATAACCCACTTTTCACATCCAATCTTTATTTTACTCCACATAATCCTTGAATTTATACATTTGTAGTCCCTATTTTCCTGCCATAGCTTATCCTTCAACATTATTGCTACTCCTTCTTTAGCTCTAACTCTATTTGAAACCCCTGACCTAATCCCATTTATTCCTCTCCATTGAAACTCTCCCACCCCCTTCAGCTTTGTTTCACTTAAAGCCAGGACATCCAGTTTCTTCTCATTCATAACATCCGCAATCATCTCTTTCTTATCATTTGCACAACATCCACGCACATTCAGACTTCCCACTTTGACAATTTTCTTCTTCTTATTCTTTTTAGTAATCTTTACAGGAAAGGGGTTACTAGCCCATTGTTCCCGGCATTTAGTTGACTTTTACAACACGCATGGCTTACGGAGGAAAGATTCTTATTCCACTTCCCCATGGATATGAAAGGAAAAGTAATAAGACCAAGAACTACTAAGATAAAATCAAAGAAAACTCAGATGAATGTGTATAAATAAACGTGTACATGTATGTGTAGTGTGACCTAAGTGTAAGTAGAAGTAGCAAGACATGCCTGTAATCTTGCATATTTATGAGACAGACAAAAGACACCAGCAATCCTACCATCATGTAAAACAATTACAGGCTTTCATTTTACACTCACTTGGCAGGACAGTAGTACCTCCCTGGGTGGTTGCGGTCTACCAACCTACTACATATCTGAACAATTCACTTCTTCCATACTCCCTCCCTCGAGTGTGGTATCCAGTTTTTCCTTATCTAAATTGTTTGATACCCTCATCACCTTACTCTTATCTATGTTCACTTTCAATTTTCTACCTTTACACACAGTACAGTGGACCCCCGGTTAACGAACTTTTTTCATTCCAGTAGTATGTTCAGGTGCCAGTACTGACCAAATTTTTTCCCATAAGGAATATTGTGAAGTTGATTAGTCCATTTCAGACCCCCAAACATACACGTACAAACGCACTTACATAAATACACTTACATAATTGGTCGCATTTGGAGGCGATCGTTAAGCGGGGGTCCACTGTATTTGTTTATAAAATTGCATTAGAGAAAGTTATTTGATAATAGACGACTAAACCTTGAGTTGTGATTATATCTTCATTAACGTCTCAAGCAGTTTCTTTAATTCATTTGTGATGTGCTATCCAAGTGGAATAGGTTTTTCAGTCTTCTGGTCAGGAGAAAGTAGTGGGACTTTATGCACTTTGCAAAAGCTGTCAAAAATCTGAAGAAACTTCAATTCTGTTTTGCAACTGCTTTCCAATTTGTTGTAATTTCTGAAACACTGATAATTAAATGAAAAATTATTTTACACTATTCAAGCTTGCATGGAAGAGAAAGTGGAAGAAATTTGCTTATCATTATTGAATGGTAGACAAAATTAATAATTAGAATCCTCTGTGCTTCTCTTTAATTTTTATGAAGGGAAGAACGACAAGATTTCAGTTTTCCCAGTGGCTTTCTGTCTCACTAATGGTGTTGTCATTAGCTTTGCGTACTTTCGTTATGCATTAAACAATATACTTAATGGTAGATGGTTCTACACCCAACTCATGATTGGACACATTCATGACCACTGCCTGTAGAGGGACAGTTCCAGAATGGACACACTTTCAATCATATTTTTTAAGGATAGAAGAACTAAAGGTATTTGCTGTTGCTGAATTAATTTTTCTCAGTTATTACCTGTGCTGGCTGAACATATGCAGGTTTATTTAATGAGCAGGGGTTATCTAATATTTTACTCATTGTTTTATATACAGTATTTCCCCTATTCATTTGTTGAAGCAAAAAATATTAATTATCCACTTATTACATTTTATCATTATCTGAGATTTTTTTTTTTTGACATTGTCATTAATAAAGTAAAAAATAATTGGCGATATTTTCACCATAGATATGAGTGTTGTTTTTTGTTTATCTTCGTCAGATCTCGTGTTCATATCCTGCTGATGAGGTCACTATTGTCCCACTACATGTTCACAGCCAATGTTTACAAAAGTGCAAACTGTGAAGACTTTTAAATGCAAAGTCCTCATTTTACTAGACCTTCATTAATGCTGACCTGCTGTGAATATGGATATATTTATGTATATAAAAATTGTGTGGTTGGGCCTGAATTTCTTACTCTGAGTTTTTAAAGATAATGGGCTTGGTAATATTTTTCTCTAGTTTTCCTAGTGAAGTATATTTTATTAACCAAAAATAGTCATTAAGCTAATTAATACATCATTAGATGCATCATTCTTAACATATATTGCACTTACAGTATACTAATAAAGGCTTAGGATGCAGTTCAGCACAAATGGCTCATAACTTTATTCCCCAAGTTTGAAATACTTGGGATAAAATACCCATTGAATTTTTATATAACAAATGTATTGAATGTATGTCCACACTGTTCTCTTGCATATCACTTTGTACCCTTCCCTCCTTTGAATGAGTCCTAATAACCACCCATTTTCCAGGCAGGCACTGTATGGGTTTTTCACTTCCCTCGGTAATTTAACATTAACATCTCATAGTAACTCAGCATTAAAGGAGGTCATTGTGATTTTATCAGTAATGCATCTTTTGTTTACATAATGAATTGATCACATTAATAGTTGACCTGATTGGTTGTAGAACTGCAATTACTTAGTGTAATTGGAGCCAGCTGACCAGTCACTAAACTGTTCATCTGAGCAAGTATTAATTTTACCCAATACACCCATTGTTTGTGTGTGTGTGAAGAATAACACTTGCTCTTTTTACATCATTTCCCAAAGTCGATGAGGACTTTGAAGGTAAGAGTTTTCCTCACACTGTTAATGTTTCCTGTATTGCGTATTTTTGCTAAATATTTTTTCCTGCTAATTTCTATAATACCTGTATCTTGTAGTCTTTTGGAATGGATGCATACAAGAGTTGTTATTAGTGAGCTGGTCAGTAGGTTTTATGTTATTTATAGGTATTGAAGAAAATATGTAGTGTGTGCATATCTGGGTTAATCAAATTAGTGATATTCAAGGCAACCTCTGTTTAAATTATTGCCCAGTATTGTGCTTAGGAAACTTTTACTTAAGGCCAATTTTCTAAAACCTACTGTATCAGTTTGGATGGGTTGCCAAATCCGTCACGCGTTTTGCTTTTATTTGTCTATAACTGTTAATCCTATTTCAATTATTTTGCCTCATTTATTAGTAAATAAAATGAGAAAGTTTGGCTTGTTGTTGCTATATACAGTACATGTCTTGTTTGGGCTTGTTTATATGCTAAAATAGATACACAGTACATACGTGTAAAAAATTTTTTAACATCGGCTTTCCCCAACCAAGGCAGGGCAACCCAGATCACAAGAAATTAAAGTTTTTTTTTTTCTCTTTCTCTCTCTCTCTCTCTTTACATTTAGTAATTTATACAGGAGAAAAGGTTACTAGCCCTTTGCTTCCTGCTTTTTAGTCTCCTTTTATGACATGCATGGCTTATGGAGGAGGGATTCTTTTCCACTTTCCCATGGAGTTGAAAGGAAATAAATAAGAACAAGAACTATTAAGAATATAGAAAAAACTTAGGTGTGAATACAATTACATGTACATGCATGTGTAGTGTGACCTAAGTGTAAGTAGAACTAGCAAGATATACCTTTTATATGTAATGCATGTTTATGAAGCAGAAAGAAAAGATATCAGCAATTCACCATTGTGTAAAACAGTTACAGGTTTCTGTTTTGCACTCGTTTAGCAGGATGGTAATACCTAAAAAGCAAGGGTCGTTTCTGCCAAGTAACCAGTGAAAATTTGTTGTGCAGTAAGCTTTGGAAAATCAAATTTGAACATAACAGAAAAAAAAATATAAGCCATCGATTTTAAATAATATTAAATCAATTTAAACTGATAAATGATACAGTAGAATTTGGTTAAAGAAAATTACATTAAGCTAGATTAGATTCCACAGTTAGGTTAAGGGCCAAGGAAAATTTTTGTACACCGTATTTGATGATAAAATATCTGTTAATCCATAAAAAGAAATTTGGGAAAAGTTCATTTTTTTTTTTAGGGTAGTTTGGCCTAATTGACCAGTTTGGCTCATTAGGCACATATGTATGTTTAGTATAGTATATATAAATAATTCAATACAAGTAGTCCTTATAGAGCTGCAACAGAATGCATAGCATAGACAGTAAAGTTCACAACTTTGTATGTTAATTCATTACTGAAAATTTTTCTAAGGTAGATTAATCATATTTACTTAAGACCCCCATGTTATAATCAGAGATGCATTCCTGAGTCATAATTTTACGTATCTAATTTTGTTTATTTTATATGTGAATGTTTATATTTAGTACTGTTTGTTTTCACTTACAAATAATATTGAACATTGTTTAATAAACAGAACAGAGCTACAATACAGTACGGCAAGGCCCTGACTTTAAGTGTTTAACGTAAAACATTTTACACACGTCACATACATGTTGGAACCAATTGAATATGTCATAAAACACTGATATGCAGTTACGATCATTGCAAATATTCAAATAGAAATTGTTTTAAATAAATAAATATTTTCTGTTTTTACCAAATGCATTCATACTTTGTATATGCTCATTTTGTGCATATATAGAAAGCTCATATTTGTTTGGTAGAGATTGGCCAAGAACCATAGAGTTAATATTAAAGAATTTTCATAAGGCTTAATTGTGAATATTTTTTCTTTTCTTGGTTAGTGTTTTACCACATACAGTCCTACTTTCTGTATCTTCATTTAATGCATGCTTAGAGAGCTCACATTTGTTTAGTATTGATTGGCCGAGAATTATTGTTTTAATTTTTATGAATTTTCTTAAGGTTGAATTATAAAAAAAAAAAAAAATTTTTTTACCAAATTCAGTGATATTTTGTGTTCATTTTATGCATGTGTGGAGACTTCATGTTGAGTAAATAAATGCATTCATATAGATTAAATATTTGCATTCATATAGATGAAACATTTGCATTTGTGTAGATTCACTTACAGTGGAACCTCGGTATGTGACCTTAATTCTTTCCAGAAGGCTGTTTGAGTGCCGCTCCATTTGAGTATCAAACGAGTTCTTCCCAACCAATTTTCTGTTTGGTTGGCTGTTATCACTAATCGTCGTAGGCCCCATGGTGACTTATTTATACAAATAATACAAAAAAAAAATGCGAAGGAACACGAAATAGTTTACAGCGAAGTTCTGGCAGGTCGTATTTGTTCAGTCGAGTGCTAAGCATTGTTCGAGTAGGGACCTGGTCATATACCGAGATTCCATTGTATATTAATGTACAGTAGATTAAATAATTACATTCATGTTGATTAAATAAATACGTTCTGTGGTAGCCACCACTGCTGCTGCTGCTGCTGTGTACTGAACACATCAGCAAGTGAGGTGTAGAAGAGTTGGAGATTCACTACTCAAGCCATCCCTTCCCTTGTACAATTACCTTCTTTGTTACCTTCTCACACAATACACCCTGGCACAATGACCCTTACCACAACAATGGGGGAGCTGTGAACATCTGTAAAGACACTCTAGTTAGATATGATAAGGGGAAAGGTGGGAGTGAATAGGGAAGAGAAAAAGGGGGAGTCGGTCCAGCTGCTGCCTGCCCATAAATGTCATCCCATTCCTTTCATACTACACTTGACCACAGCAGTGGGGAAGTGGAGAGCATATTGAAGTATTAAATAAGATGTGAGAGTGAAAAAGACAGTGATAAAGAGAGAGCGGGAGACAGTTCAGCTGCTACCTGCCAACTTCACATCACATACGTACTGCACTACACTTTATAGTCTATTGTTCTGTTCTGTTTTAATTAACATACAATAATTAAAGAATGCTTAATGCTATTTTTAAGTGAGAATAAACAGTACTGAATGTAAAATATTTAGTAAAAGTTTTTTGGAAAAAACTAAGTGAAATTAGAGTATTATGGCCTGTGAATAAATCTGTAATCATAACATCTTTGGGAAAAATAGATTCCAAGCACTGAACAATCAGCTTGCAATGGGTTTTCAGGAATACATGAACACCATAAAAACATTTGTGTAGAGTTTAGGACATTTATTAAAGGAAATGTTTTGCCATGTGTGGCTTTTTCAGACGTAATACGCTGTATAGCCCTTGTGGCTTAGCGCTTCTTTTTGATTATAATAATAATAATCAGACGTAATACAAAGTAAGCTTAATACAGGGCATTGTGTAATGAACAACACAAGTGACCAGTAGTGAGGGTGAGGTGAGGCAGGAGATGCATCAGGTATCAACTAGGGTCATTGAAGCTAAAACCTTGGGTATCTTTAAAAAGTAGGGTACAGTAATTTTTTAAACAAGTTGGATTTGAGATGGGCTTGCCTGACATGGGCCAGCAGGCTTACTATAGTGCTTCTCTATGGTGATTTTCATTATTCTTATGTGATGGCCAGTCCTAATGTAGGTAATAATCTTTTGGCTGAAAGTTTGTATACAGTGAAGTTCCCAGAGCTTTGTGGGACTGTGTTGATAGCAGTTAAGGCTACTTCCTGCAAATTCTACCTCTGTTGGTCACTATCATGGATGACTAGCCAGGCCTCATTAAAACTTCATTGTGGATCCACATTGATCCCTGTGCTGTACATGTGTATTGTCATCATACTGGCTGCAGGCATTTCTCCGCTGGTCAGAAACTTGCTTTTGTGCTTCTTCACGAAGTTCTTGATTGGTGATAAGTTGGTAGCTATTTTGAGGGGTTGGTTGTATAGCTTCCTCTGCTGCTGTGTTGGTGTTTGCTCTGTGGAGTACATTTGTGGCATAATTCTTGCATGTGTGACATACACACATTTTTCCCTTGAAGAACTGTGGACTTAAAGTTCTGAAGGCTCTGAGAAAGAGGCCTTTGATTGTTCCCACCTCTTCTTGTTTTGACGTAATGATGAAGGTAAATGTAATGGATAATTTTTGCAAGTAGGTTCTTGGTAAGCTTTGAACAAAAGTCTGCTTTCCTTTGGGTGTTAAAGCACATCTAGGAAAGGTAGCTAGTTGTTGTTTTCCTCTATTGTCAGTTGAAACTTTGGTTCTGGATTGTTGATGGAGACGAAAATATGCACATTTAGACCTTTGGGCACATTGACAAAGATGTCATTGGCATGCTACAACCATTTGTTTGACCTGAAGATTGTAGCTAAAATGCAGCTGAATTCCAAATTTTCATTATTCATGTTAGCTAGAAGTGCACTATGGGGTGAGCCTACAGCTAACCTGAACAGTTTTGTATTTGTTTCCTTTGATGCTGAAGCAGTTATAAGAAATGCAAAGCTTGATTGGGTACATAAAAATCTCTGCAAGGCACACACCAGTCTTCATCTACAGTAATCACTCAGAGTAGGAGGTTGATGGCTTGGTCCACTGGTCACCCGAGTTCTTTAGATCTGCTGGACTAATTGTCCGTAGAAGTGTTGAGTGGTGAGTATAATTGTGTAAGAGAGAGGGGTGTGGAGAGCTCCCACTCTCCTGCACCTCATACTGACATGTTCAGTAGGTGGATAACACCTAGTGATGGCTACCCTAGCCTTAAAAAACATTATAAATACTATTAAATCTGCAGCTTTTGATAAATTTCTACCAAATAAATGGGAGTGCTCTATATGTGAATAAAATGAATGCACGCATAATATGAATGTGTTTTATACTTGTTTCAAGTTACAAACATCTCACGTAAATTAGAATACCAGGAATGCAATTCGTTTGTTTGAAGTACAGCAGTATTTGACCGACAGATCATAAAGTCTCAAGGTAAAGTGCTCATAGGTTTACCCATTTAGTACTATGCTTATTCTGAAGTTTTAGGTGCAATACTTACATCATGAATATAGCTTGCTTTTTTATTGCAGTTATTATTTGTCTAAAAAAATTTTAATACATAAATTTTCTTACTGCAAAATAAAAAAAATTACAAGTTAATTATTGCCCAGAATAATTACAGTAATACAATCTAACACAACATTCAGAAAAAAATTATTTCAGGTTTGTACTACTTTCTCCAGACTTCATAACTTGAGCATTTTTTCTACAGTATGTTATACAGAAATTTTATTGTACAGTACTACAATGTATAATGAAATCTTCATTTCATCAAAGTTGTTTGTAGCACTGGAAACTACATGTGATTTAGGGAAAAGGCACTTTTCTGCAGGGTCCTTCAAGAGAAATGTCATAGTACTGTTCCTGGAACCATTAATATTAGAGAATTAAGGTTCTTGCTCTTCAGGTATCTTACTTGTAATGTTGATTGTTCCAGAAAACTGTATTGACTTTTATTCTTCACATGTGACTTGTACATGTATAGTTGCAACATCTTTTTGGTCATTTTAGTGCTTTTTTTTTTTTTTTTTTTTTTTTTTTTTTTTTTTTTTTGCGCGCCCAGAACTCCTTTCCTTAAGTTGTTTTACCTGCAGTTACAGTATGTGCTTAACATTTTCATTTTAATGATGCACATCTCTTAAACTTCTTTTAGTTGTCTAACTGCATCTAATTAAATGTTTTCTGCTTTTAAACTCCTCTGGACCAATTCTTAGAATTTACATTTGATCGAAAGGTAGCCATATGCCAGAACACAGCATTAATTTCATACAATATACGACTCTTCCATTGGCTGTTATATGTCTGTTATTCATAGTCATATGTAAACTCTAAAGACACTGGCCATGTGATGTTTGACTCCTTGAGTGCATTATAATTCCCAGAGGTGCACCATACTGCTTCCCTATGTGGTTTTCAAGAACGATATATGTATATTGACTGTTAAAAACCCTTTAACCTAACTGAAAGATTTGGACAATCATCTTCACTCCCCAAATACTGTGATCTGTGGATAACTTATGTTGCTAATGCCTTCTATTTCACAAAATATGTGGACTACTTAGGATCCATATTATCAGTGCCTTCTACTTTTCTAGAAGCTGAGCTGTTATTATCCATGTCCCATACTACCTGCAACCTGTGTGAACCTTAGTTTGGAATATTAAATGTATTTTAAGTGTATCCAAACCTGTTGACCCACAGCCTCCTGCACATAAGAGGTCCCATGTCCAAAAGCTTGTTCAGTTTGCATGGTGTTGCCCTAGATGAGTTTGCTCTGTTGATGGTGTGTCTCTCTTTACAGCCTCCATAGCAACAAATGACGGAGAGAGCGATAGCCGAAGCATGAGTGAGTATTCCCTCTGCCCGCTATGTAGGCTTGCTGAGGTATTCATCTTTGTGTGAAGTGTTCCTTCTTCAAGCTCAGCAGAAGTGAATTAATATCTGATACTTTTTACTTTAGTTCTTGAGATTATTTACAATTTTTATTATGATGTAGATTTTAAATGTTAAAAATATTTTTTGGCTTTTATGTGGCAAACCATCACCAGTTTCTATAGTTATAAATACATTATTTAAACTTTTTAATTGTATATGAGCACTTGTGTTTAAACTAGCTGTAAATACAAGTGCTTTTACACTTCTATTCTGCTGGGCTAGAAAATGCAGATACAAAGCAAGCATGCAGCTTTTCTAAGTTTGCAAGCACTTATGAAGTCTCTTGATAATCACTCTACAAATGCAGGAAGTAACAAGTTCTCTATATTAGTTATTTTCATTATTGTTTTTTTACTATATTGAAATCTTTAGCTGTGAAACTAATAGCATGAATTGCATTCACCTGATGTTCATCCTGTATATGCAAAATATAATATCTTAGGTGCCTTTCAACATGGTATGACCAGTGTTGAAGGGTGCTTACCACCACTGAGAGTGGCAGCTGCTTTAAGTAGTGGCAAGTGGTTCACAGTTCAGGAAGAAGGAAGATGAGGAGGATTAATAGAGAAGATGTGAAGGTAGGAAATCAATCCTCTGTTCTCCAAGTTGAGTGAACTTCAGTGGTTAGTGAGGTTAAAGGTACCTCTGACTCCCCTGCTAATCAAGGTAAGAATATTCTGATTGTGGGAGACTCTCAGGTAAGATATATGGACCGTGTTTTTTTTTGTAACGGATAGAAAAGTCAGTGTGTGTGCCTCCCAGGAGCTGGTGTTGGTGACATAGTCAGCAGGTTGGATAATATTATGTCAGGTAATGGGAACAAGCCCATTATCTGTTTTAGTGCTGGTGGAAATGACATTGGGAAGGGCAGGAGACAGGAGCTACTGGATAAGTACAGGTCAGCCATAGAAGTAGTCAGGTCTAAGGGAGGGATCCCTATCATATGTAGCATCTTGCCTAGAAGGGGAGTGGGCAATGAATGGATGTCTAGGGCAATTGGTATAAATTGCTGGCTAGACAGGTACTGCAAGGAACTTGCAATCCCATTCATTGATAACTGGGACAAATTCTATGGCAAATGTGATATGTATGCAAAGGATGGGGTTCACCTCTCGGGTTGGAATGGTTGCATTAGCCAGTTCGATTGAGGGGGTAATTGATGACGTATGTAGGACTTTAAACTGATAGATTATAAAGGTATGGGTGTTTGTGGGAAACAATCAGACTGCAGTATTATTGTTGGAAACAGCAGATATTCCCAGGATACCTTAGGGATATGTTTAAAAGACAATATTCAAAATAAAGTTCCTAATAAAGGAAAAGCAACTGATCAACAAACAGAGAGATAGTAGAGGGCAACGAGTGACTAGCTCCCTTAAGGTTTACTATACAAATAGTAGGAGTCTAAGAAATAAGATAGATGAGCTAAGATTACTCGCAAGTGCAGGTAATATAGATATTATTGCTATAACTGAGACCTGGTTCAACTTAAAGGATAGAGAAATGCCTTCTGAATGCAACATACATGGTTATAAACTATTCCACACTGATAGGGTCAACAGGAAGGGTGGTGGAGTGGCGATGTATATCACAGATAATTTAAATTGTTGTGTTAGACAAGATATAAGAATAGAAACATTGGACACAGAATCGGTTTGGCTACAGTTTCTCAAGGGGTATGAAAAATTAATTTTGGATGTGATATACAGTGGACCCCCGGTTAACGATATTTTTTCACTCCAGAAGTATGTTCAGGTGCCAGTACTGACCGAATTTGTTCCCATAAGAAATATTGTGAAGTAGATTAGTCCATTTCAGACCCCCAAACATACACGTACAAACGCACTTACATAAATACACTTACATAATTGGTCGCATTCGGAGGTAATCGTTATGCGGGGGTCCACTGTATAGGCCCCCAAACCTTGATAGGGAGGGCAGTAAGCTGCTATGGGATGAAATTCATAAGGTGTCTAGATATGAAAAATGTTTTGTTAATGGGGATTTTAACTTGAGACAAATTCATTGGAACAGTCTGACAGGAAATCTTGAGTCTAGTGACTTTCTTAATACAGTTCAGGATTGCTTTTTAAGACAGTTTGTGACAGAACCAACTAGAGGGAACAATCTTCTTGACTTGGTTCTTGCCAACAAAGATTCACTAATTAATAATCTTGAGGTTAATGATGAGCTTGGGGAAAGTGGTCACAAATCACTTAGTTTCAATATACAGTGGACCCCCGCATAACGATGGCATCACATAGCGATTATTTCGCATACCACTTACTTTAATTGCAAAAATTTTGCCTCACATACCGCTTAAAAACCCGCTTACCGATTTTCGTCCGAGACGCGTCCAATGTGCGGCCTGAGCCACGCTCACATGTTCCGCCGGTGGCATTGTTTACCAGCCAGCCTCCGCGGTAACATCCAAGCATACAATCGGAATATTTCGTATTATTACAGTTTTTCGGTGCTTTTTCTGGAAATAAAGTGACCATGGGCCCCAAGAAAGCTTCTAGTGCCAACCCTACAGCAATAAGGGTGAGAATTACAATAGAGATGAAGAAAAAGATCATTGATAAGTATGAAAGTGGAGTGCATGTCTCCGAGCTGGCCAGGTTGTATAATAAACCCCAATCAACCATCGCTACTATTGGTGGTACAGCTGCTGCTGCTGCTGCACTGTCAGCTGCTGCTGCTGCTGCACTGTCAGCTGCTGCTGCTGCTGTGCACCGTTGTTGTGTGGCTTATTGAGAATACCAAGAAACAATTAACCCCAGAGGATTTGCCACCCAGGATAACCAAAAAAGTCAGTGTCATCGAAGACTGTCTAACTTATTTCCATTGGGGTCCTTAATCTTGTCTCCCAGGATGCAACCCACACAAGTCGACTAACACCCAGGTGAACAGGGAAAAATGCCTGGAACTAGTGCTCATATTGGTGGATTTAAAGCCAGCAAAGGTTGGTTTGAGAGATTTAAGAATCGTAGTGGCATACACGTGTGATAAGGCCTGTTCTGGAAGAAAATGCCAAACAGGACCTACAGTACAGGAGGAAAAGGCACTCCCAGGACACAGTGTCTCATCAGTTCATTGCTGCATCTTCAATAAAGGTAAGTGTCATTTATTCTTCATTTAGTAGACTAGTACATGCACAATATATACTGTGCATGTACTACTCTACTGTTGTGCATGTATCCTTCTCTTTGTGTGTGGGAAAATGTATATTTCATGTGGTAAAATTTTTTTTCATACTTTTGGTGTCTTGCACGGATTAATTTTTTGATTTCCATTATTTCTTATGGGGAAAATTCATTCACATAGCGATTATTTCGCATAACAATTACCCCTCTTGCACGGATTAAAATCGTTAACCGGGGGTCCACTGTATTATGGAATTGCCCAGTAAACTGCAATCAAGTCTCTCTTCCAGACTTTCGATTGGCTGATTTCATGGGATTGAAAAATTACCTGGGTGGGCTAAATTGGGATGATCTGACTGTGGGTCAGGTAGCTGGTGTTGGTTGCCAGTATGACATTTTCAGAGCATAGTTCTAGCTGCTCAGTCAACTTTTGTTCCGAGTAGGGAAATTAGATCTAACAAAAATGATCCCAAATGGATGAACAATAGATTAAAACATCTCATTGGTCAAAAGGAGGCATTTTTAGGTGTATCAAAAGAGGGGATGGGCAGTTAAGAAATCAATATATTCAATTAAAGAGAAAAAAAAAAAGGAATAAGAAAAGCAAAAAGGGATTATAAGGCTAAGGTCACAAGAGATTTGAAGACTAACCCAAAAGGGTTCTTTCAGTATACAGAAGTAAGATTAGAGTAAGATAGGCCCATTAAGAGAAGCTCAGGTCAGATCACTGACCCGTGATAGGGATATGTGTGAAATTTTCATTTCTTACTTCCTCTGGGTTTTTACTCGGGAAGATTACTAGCGAAATTCCAGAAATGATAAATTTTTGTAGAACAGGACGATAATGAAGTATTTCATGATTGCAGTTAACTAGTGACACGGTCCTCAGACAAATAGAGAAATTAAAACCTAACAAATCCCCAGGCCCAGATGAATTGTTTGCAAGGGTTTTAAAGGAATGTAAAGAGGAAATTTTCAAACCTTTGGCTAATCTTTTCAAATATCACTACAAATGGATAGTACCTGATAAATGGAAAATGGCAAATGTAATACCTATTTACAAGGCAGGTGACAGGTCCTTAGCTTCGAACTATAGACCAATAAGCCTTACCTCCATAGTGTGAAAATTTATGGAATCAATAATTGCCAAGACATTCATAGCCATCTTGATAGGCATAAATTGATAATGAATCTCAACTCGGTTTTTACTAAGGGGTGTTCCTGTCTTAGGAATTTACTAACTTTTTTCACTAAGGTGTTTTTGAATAGGTAGATTGTGGTAATGTATATGGACTTCAGTAAGGCTTTCGATAGAGTTCCACGTCAGAGACTTTTTTAGGGAAAAATTAAGGCACACTGAATAGGAGGAGAAATTTTTTCCTGGGTAGAGGCAATGGTTGACAAATAGGCAGCAAGAGTTTGCATAAAAGTGGAGAAAACAGAATGCGGCATGTCACAAGCGGTGTTCCACAGGGGTCAGTGTTGGGCCCCTTGTTTTTCACAATTTACTTTAAACGATATAGATGAGGGAAATAAATAGCGACATGAGCAAATTTGCTGATGACACCAAAATAGGCCGTCCAATTCATTTATCGAGGGCATTTTGTGCACTCCGGATGATTTGAATAGACTGATGCAGTGGTCAGAGAAGTGGCAGATGCAGTTTAAAATAGACAATGCAAAGCAAAAAATGTTGGACAGGATAATAACCATGCCATTTATAAATAAAATTGTGTTGATTTTAAATCTATGATTGTAAAAAGGTTTTGGGAATTCTGATTAGCAGTAATTGAAACCCAAAACAAAAAAGGGTTTTAAATTTTTCAATAAAGTACA